TACTCCTGTTAATGCCTCCCAGAATTATGTTTTTTGTTTTGCAACAGTGTCACATTGTTGACATATTTAGTTTGCAACGGGACAATAGAGAAAAGGATGCATGGTATTTAAACATAGAATCATAGAATACTAGGACTGGAAGGGACCTCGAGAGGTCATCGAGTCCAGCCTCCTGCCCTCATGGCAGGACCAAATACTGTCTAAAGCATCCCTGATAGACATTTCTCTAACCTACTCTTAAATATCTCCACAGATGGGGATTCCACAACCTCCCTGGGCCATTTATTCCAGTGTTTGACCACCCTGACACTTAGGAACTTTTTACTAATGTCCAACCTAAACCTCACTTGCTGCAGTTTAAGCCCATTGCTTCTTGTTCTATCCTCAGAGGCCAAGATGAACAAGTTTTCTCCCTCCTCCTTATGACACCCTTTTAGATACCTGAAAACTGCTATCATGTCCCCGCTCAGTCCTCTCTTTTCTAAACTAAACAAACCCAATTCCTTCAGCCTTCCTTCATAGGTCATGTTCTCTAGATCTTTCATCATTCTTGTTGCTCTTCTCTGGACCCTCTCCAATTTCTCCACATCTTTCTTGAAATGCGGTGCCCAGAACTGGACACAATACTCCAACTGAGGCCTAACCAGCACACAGTAGAGCGGAAGAATGACTTCTCGTGTCTTGCTCACAACACATCTGTTAATGCATCCCAGAATCATGTTTGCTTTCTTTGCAACAGCATCACACTGCTGACTCATATTCAGCTTGTGGTCCATTGTAACCCCTAGATCCCTTTCTGCCGTACTCCTTCCTAGACAGTCGCTTCCCATTGTGTGAAACTGATTGTTCCTTCCTAAGTGGAGCACTTTGCATTTGTCTTTATTAAACTTCATCCTGTTTACCTCAGACCATTTCTCCAATTTGTCCAGATCATTTTGAATTATGACCCTATCCTCCAGATTAGTCGCAACCCCTCTCGTCTTGGTATCATCTGCAAACTTAATAAGCGCACTTTCTATGCCAATATCTAAATCGTTGATGAAGATATTGAACAGAGCAGGTCCCAAAACAGACTCCTGCGGAACCCCACTTGTTCTGCCTTTCCAGCAGGATTGTGAACCATTAATAACTACTCTCTGAGAATGGTTATCCAGCCAGTTATGCACCCACCTTATAGTAGCCCCATCTAAGTTGTATTTGCCAAGTTTATTGATAAGAATATCATGCATGACCATATCAAATGCCTCTTAAAAATCAAGAGTCTTCATATTAATGCACCCCTCTCTGCACTCCACATGAGGTGAACATTGGTCTCCCCATTTTATAGATGGGGAACCTGAGGTGGGGAAGTGGGCAAGTTACTTGCTGAGGGAAGGAGGCAGGTTTACAAATCAGGAATCGTTGGTTGCCAATTCTCTCTTTTAACCAGCAGACAGCTTTCCCACCTGCCTCAAACTTAGAATGAGAGACCCACCAACACGCTTGTGCAACCCAGAGAAAAATTTGAAACTCGTTCATTATCTGAAGCTGACTGCAACGGTCTTGTGTTGGTGTGGTTTGGTGTGTCGCAAGCACAACCTTACACAAATGAATAATTCAGGCCCCTGAAGACTGCCACACAGGTGACTTTCCTGGGGATTAAATGCTCACGTCCTCCACAGTTCTGCCACAGTCAAAAAAGAAAAATTACAAATTGATCTGGATTCCCCTCTCCTACTCCTTTGCTACTTCTTTATAATAAGCCTTTGGCAGCTTGGATTTATTCAGGGGGGGAAGGGGGGACAGGCAGAATTGAGGTTCAGTTCTGGGAAAACTTTGGTGCTGGGATGAATAATGCATAAGACTGCAGAATCAATATTGATGCATCAGAGATGGAAGCCAGACAACAGATATGGGGCTCGAGTGAGCAAATACAGCAAAGGCCGATTTGCTTCAGTGGTGTGAGCAACTCACTTGGCTTCTGGCAATGCCCCTCTGCCTTTCTTCCTGCTAGTATTCCAGAGAGTGGGTTCCCAAGAGGGCCATTCACACCTGCACTCTCCGGATCTCCATGCACTTTAGAATCACCAGTGAGCAGAGATATTTAAAAAGAAATTCCTGTCCCTCGCCCTCCCAAAATTATAATTGTTTCATTCCAAAAGCCGAATTTATGTAAAAGCCAATGGGGGCAAATCTGCAGATAAAGTAAACTGATGTGTCTCCCCTGGCATCAACAGGTGAATTTACACCAGCAGAGCGTTTGGCCCGAATCTGAAAAGAGGCTACTTAATCAGAACAAGAGCATCTAGTGCCATTTACAGACCCCGAAAAAATCCCCTTCGGCTCTTTTGTGTCTCCCTCATTGCCCCTTTTCTCAGCACCAGGGCCCCTGTCCTCCAGGGCACAGACCAGGTTGCCAAATAGCAGCAAAGACGGTTGCTCTTGGCGTTCTTCCCCACCCCCATGGTGCATCTTCTGCAGTCCTTGAAATTTTCCATCTCAAGGGTCAAGTCCCTGGTGCATCCTCACAGCGTAATTGTGAAATTATTATGGCTGGTGATTTTAATTTAAATTGGATGGAGAAATGTTGTACTGCGGCTGACTCATTTGCTATGGATTTTCACTTAACCAAATTGATTAGTCAACCAACTAGACTTAACTTGAAAGTTGTAATCATTCATTATTAGATCTAATTTTCGTGTCGCTCCCAGACAGCGTTCAGAAATTACACAGCAAAGAAGACTTTAACGATGTCAGGTCCAGGGTCCTGACAGAAATTCAGCCCCGAGGCTCAAAGCTCTCTCTTTGAACCACCCTTCAGCACCCAGGAAGAGACAATCACCTCAGATTTTGCTGAGGTAAGCGCTGCAGAAGAGTGAGTGAGAAAACGGCATGCCAAGTTTCTGTGGAGATTTTTTTTCCCCTAGGATTGGGGAAAAAACGGGCGCAATGCAGCACAAGTCACACGTCTCTCTAGGTCTATGATGGGGAACGTTCCATAGCTACTTGGCTTCTGCACATCTCTTGTGACAGTGCGTTGGGGTTTTCCCGTCTCCTGCACCCCCGTAATGGCACGGACAGACTCCACCAGTCAGTAGAATAGAGGGCTGTGTCTAGACTGGCCACTTTTTCCGGAAAATCAGCTGCTTTTCCAGAAAAACTTGCCAGCTGTCTACACTGGCCACTTGAATTTCCGCAAAAGCACTGCCTTCCTACTGTCTGAAATCAGTGCTTCTTGCAGAAATACTATGCTGCTCCCGTTCGGGCAAAAGTCCCTTTTGCACAAAACTTTTGCGCAAAAGGGCCAGTGTAGACAGCTGAGATTTGTTTTCCGCAAAAAAGCCCCGATTGCAAAAATGGTGATCGGGGCTTTTTTACGGAAAAGCACGTCTAGATTGGCCATGGACGCTTTTCCGCAAAAAGTGCTTTTGCGGAAAAGCATCCGTGCCAATCTAGACGCTCTGTTCTGAAAATGCTTTTAACTGAAAACTTTTCCATTAAAAGCATTTCTGGAAAATCATGCCAGTCTAGACGTAGCCGAGGTGTTTATTGCTTCTGCAGGATACAGCACAGCACAGATGTAATCTGGTTCCAGGGCCGGCCTAGGATGCCTCAGCCCCCTTGAGATGGGGGAGACTGGGCCCCTAAATCCCAGCCCCTTTCCCTAGGCTGTCTCCTCCATGCTCTCAGACCAAAAGTGACACACTCACTTCCAGCCCTGCCCCCAGCTGGGGCTCCACTCCCCTTCTTCCCATTGTTCCGCTCTCTGGGAGATAACTCGTTAGACAGGTTCGAAGCCCCCTTGCATAATGACTCATCCCTGCCCTGCTGGGCCATGCTGCAGACAGCAGCCAGTGGAGGTCACTCACAACCCAAGCCTAGCAACCAGCAAGGTACCCCCCACTACGTCACACCCCTCTCCACAATGACATGCCCTGGCTGTCCTGCGACCTGCTCATGAGGAGACATGCTTGTTCTCATCCCTGACAAAACGCTTCCACCCCAGCTTGTTGTCTGTCACTAGCCCGCGGCCTTCAGACATGGTGCCTCCGCAGGCTGAAAATCTTTCGGCTACAAATCGCGTGTTCCTGGGGTTAGTCCCTGTTGAAGAGACGTCAGGACTCCAGATTGTAGCCCTGACTATGTAAGTTAGTGTGTCTGGCCGTTCTGGTTTCTCACCCTACACCTTCCGCAGGCTCTCTGGGTTTCCTCCACGAAGCCACTGCAGCTTGCTCTGCCTCCCTCTGACTACCTACACCACAGAGGATAAGAGCGCCTAGCTTTGGGATCCGGGGCTTAAGTCGCTGAATCGTCATTTGACCCTTTGGAGGCCATGGAATATAAAACCCTGGTCTCCATTAACTTGGAGCTCCCACAATGGCCCCCGGAGTCAGGAAGAGATGGGAGCTGTCGCACTGCTGCAAGTCACAGCAACGCTCTCCTACTCGCCCCAGGTTAATGCTCTGGAAAATGCCAGAGATCTTAGGGGCCACACGTGCAGGTGTTTGCCGGAAGGGCAGGGCAATGAAAGAGGTTGGCGCCTCACACGTTATGGGACACCGGGGCTCTCAACTCTGGGGCATGTATGAAACTTGCCAGGTGGCCGGGACACCCGTAAAACTAGCCACATAGCCAAGGCTCAGACTCCCCGCACAGAGATGTCTTGGGTCAACTGATCCATGCCCTCCTTTTTCTCTGGCTCTACCAGTGCTTTCAGAAAACTTCACTGCATCTCTGATCACAGCCATGCACTTCAGAGGCCACCGCATCAGCTCCCTGTGTATAAATAAGCAGGCTGTGTGCCAATTAATACCTTTAATTAACAGTGAGGACTCACTGGAGGGACTAGAACTTTTCCTCTCAGATGGTCCTCCTGCCCGTTGAGCTTCACGGATCAGCTCTGATAGGTCAGGCCAGCCACGATGTGCTACTGAGATACCTGCCGTTCCATGCCAATTAAAAGAACCGCCAGGGAACAGATCCCACCTCGAGGACAGATGGGTGGGTGGCGGGGAACCTACCCAGCATGGAGGCACTTTCAGTGGAGTCAGGTCTGTGATGGAGCGTTCTCAGAATGTCTTGCCAAGGCCTCTCCAAGGGACACGGACGTACAATGGGGAGGCTCATTCTGTGGCCGAGCAGGCCAGTTCTCGAGACTGTGAGTGCCGAAATGAGGCAGGCATCTTCCATGGCAGGAAGGGGAGAGAGGGTCAGTTTGTCTCTGTCGTATTCTTTCACTTCCAAGCCCTCCCTCCACTCCTCGCCACCTGTAAGATGTGGGCAGCATCACTTTTCCTGTCTCCCCAGCCAACAACCAGTCCCTCTCTCTATGCAGACTCCCATCTCCCTCACTCCCTTCCTCCTTTTTGGCTCAAACTTTTTTTCTCCATTTTGTCCCTTCACCCCCCCCATTGCATTAGACAAGCAGAGGATGCTGCTGAATAAAAACAGCAACAAGGCATGAGCCAACCACCCGCAAGCAGGTGGCATCATAATTATGGGGCTTCTTAAATCAAGGCACAAGATGGAATTAGATGAGCTCTTACTTTGATCTGGGATGCCAGTTTCACTGCTTCCCTCCACGGTCTCTTGGCCATCATGTCAAGGTTGGCCGCAGCCAATCCCACACTTTGTTCTTCCAATGCGGAGAATCCAAAGGAATCCACAGGGCAGAATGCAGATCGGCGCTAACCTTCTCCAGACATGTAGCCCTCACACGCCTGGTTGGTGCATTACTTCTGCTGTCTGGAAAAAATTAAAAGAAACGCAACCAGTGTGATTTACATAATGTAGATATATCTGACAAAAGTAGCGGGGTGAAATTCTATGGGTTGTATTGCACAAGAGGTCAGATGAGATGAATTAATGTTCTCTTCTAGGTTTAAATCTACGTAGCTATAAATCTATATCCATTTAATCTATGCTATTTCTGAAGCATCTGTCTCTGTGGTTTTTAAACAGCACGAAACAACATTGACGCCTGTGCAGAAAATGTTTTGCATTTTCGCCCCAAACCTCCCTATTCAAACAATTTGAGTTGTAGTAGGTGTGGGAGTAGAGGGCCGGCAAGAGATCCTTATTCAAAGCAATGTATGTTAACGGCTCCAAAAGCTTTTAACGGAGACCATTATTCCCACTCTGAGAATCAATGTATTTTATTTTCCTCTGAGGTATTTGTTTGGCTTTACTTCTGTATTTCAAACACACCAGGCATGTTTAACAAAACAAGGCAGCTCTGCGATAGAGACAGCGCATTGTATTTTCCCTGAAATTACTGGAAGTTCATTTTCAAAGCAGAGCAGTTTTCTTGGAATCAATATGTATCAACTAAAATCAATAGCTACTCTACGCAGATGGGCCGAGACACCTCACTGATAGCGCTCTATTGCGTTTGTATCCAAATCTGTACATTTTCAACAAGTCAACGTATCTAAGCATCTGCCACTGTCTTTTCATTTAAAAATAATCTGTTTGCAGATAACACTGTACCTTTCCATGGAGTCCGGTAATATACTCTCTGTATTTACCACAGCCAATGTGTATTTACCATATCAAAACGTTTCCACTTAACGTCCAATCCAGTTCATTTCAGCTTCAGCTAAACACGTATGCGCCATTGTGAACCAACTGACTTCAGCCATCTCCCTGGATTTCCCCTCACAACCACTTGTCTTATGGCTTTCCCACAGCAGGGCCTTCTGGATATAAGGATGCAATGGCAAATTCCCCTGAGGGAGGATGGAAACCATGCTGTACAGGCCAGAAAGCATGGAGAAGAGGGGGGAGATTGGAGAGGGCTGGAACATCCATGTCAGGGGACCCGAGGTGAAAACAAAAGCAAGCTCCTTCTGTGTTTGTTGAAGGACAAGCAGTGATCACTCAGGTGGACACTGTAATAAACCTTGGGCAATGGGGACTCTGACCACAAGAATCTTTCTCGCAAACACCCCTCTGGCAGATCTGATATTCCATAGGTAGAGGGCACTGGGTACACAGCCTTTTAAATTCTCTGACCAGTTCAGCTAGCTACATTCTGCCTGGCCACCTGCCCCCTCCATACTTTCAACTTGAAGTTGGTTTGGTTCTCATTTGCTGCCCTGCTCTGCTGGATAGCATTGTGGTGGCTGCATTTTGGCGGTGTGTGAAGTGCGTATTTGCATACCAGTTAATTTTTCTGTGTGTGTGTATTTCAGATATTTAGCTATACTTGTTTTTTTAGGCAGCCAACTTATATCTCCCATGACACATAGTATGCCCTCCGGTTAAAGCACCCTGGTGCATCCTGGGAGTTCCATGACTGTGGTGCATCATGGGAGATTAAATAGAACCAGGCCCATAGGTTCTGAGATTCTCCAGACAAAGGGGGGGGGGGTAGTCTGAGATTCTTCAATGATGAACAAAGGCAAAATGAAATATTTTGACATTGCCCAAACACATTTTTTTGGAACTTTCCACACACAAAAAATTGATATTTCCAAACAAATGGTGAAATTCTGAAATTTCCTGCTGGCCACTTCTACTATCCATGTGTGTATGTGTATATATCACATCACACACATGCATTTACCTACCCTAGATCTTTCATAGAACACATCACCCTGGTATCCAGGTGCTTTGGCATGAAAGACAAATCTGTAAATGTTATTTTTACAGGACAGAGGAGCACAGCTTTGTTGAAAGACTCCGTTGAGAACTGTTCCTTTAAGAAGAGAAGAATTGCAAGTCCCATTTGTCCCCGATACTAATAGAAAATTCTAAGCAGGGAAATTGGCCAGGGTGAGGGTTTTTTTCAATCAAATGCTTCTCTGATGTTCAGAGGGAGGCATTTTTCTTGGGTTCTCTCTGTTCCTTGTGCTGTATGCAAATCACAGTTCTCTGTAAGTTATTAGATAACAAAGGACTGTTTTCTCTGCAGAGACTTGCTTGCGTTGATGATCATTAGCAACCCTTCCCTGATATAATCTCTAGGAGGAAAGTACAACAGGTTCCCTCCCACCTGAAATGAGCTATCAGCGTAGCTTGGAAGGGAGAGAGAAGGTAACATGTAGTGAATAGCAGCATCTTTAGGCCAGCTAAGAATGCCCACAAGTATGTGGGTTTGCACACCCATGTCCCCTGTTTCCATCATACGAATGGGGCCCCCTTCTTGGTTTCCATGTTGGACATAGTCCCGTAATGCAAGTTTTTACTGTGCTGGCACCTATGACAGTCCCTGCCACGGGACTGGACCCCACCCTGCTGGGTGCTGTACGAACACAGAACAGCAAGGGTGCCTAACCCAAAGAGCTCACCATATTTTGAGGTAGACGTTCCCCTTGGTACAGGCCTGGGACTTGTGCTAGGACATCAGAACATTCCATGGCCCCTGAGTTTAGGAACGCTCATGCTAACCCAGACATCACCCCTTCGCTCACAAGGCACGTCCCTGTGCTCTGCCCAGGAACTGCAGGCAGCTCGCAACCCGGCCAGAGCGAGAATTCAAACCTTCCATTTTAGAGTCATTTTTTCCCTTTCTCCTGGGAAAAAATAAACAAACTCAAGCGCCCAGGAACTCACAAGCTCCGAGGATATTTGATAAGCTGGTCCTCTCATTATCTGCTGCAGGCATCCACTCACTGCCCCTATGTCTCCACAGGCTTCTGCTGACATCTCACCCAGAGCCCAAAGAAAATTGTGACACGCTAAACAAACGCCATTTAAGAATTCCCATGAAAGAATTCCTTCAAGGTGCCGTTTGGGTTCCTTCCCCTGGCTCTGTCCCCACCTCCTGCCCGTGGATTTTTCCTTTCCTGTAGGAATCTTGGCAGGCCCTTGCCAGGCCTGGTGCCTGTGAAACCATACTGTGTTGCCATGGTGAAGATTATTATGACATCAGTAACACAAAGGAAATTTCACGATCCTGAGCTCGCCTGGGATGCAGAGTTAATGAGGAGGAGGCGGGGGGAAACAGGAAAGGGTTTTTTCTTTCTTTCTTTCTTCCTTTCTTTCAGAAATGACAAAAGAAAACAAAAACAATTAAAAAAGGGGGGAGGGATCAAATCTGGTTCAGAGGGGCCCAGCCTGCCAGCGAGGCAAACGGCGGAAACATTTGCAGCGAAAGAGCTTATGTTCTCCATTTGGGCGATCAGCGGGCAACGCGCCCGTAGGAAATGCCACTGAACCAGCGCCAGCTGCTCCCAACATCAGATCAACAGGCGAAAAGAGAAACAGTGGCACCGGGTCCCTGCCTTTACCCTGAAAGCTCCACCTGGCCCCTCCATACTGAGGCCCAGAACACCACAGAGCGTAAGAGCCAAGCGGATGGGCAGAGGAGTGGATCAAAACTTAGCTGCAAAACCTGCAAGCAGGGCAAGCGGGTGCACCCGGGGCAGGATCCTGCACCCAGAGAACACCCTGCATGTGTGTGTGTTTTTCAGGCCTGCATCCAACAGGAGTTTAGATGGGAGAGACCAGTGGCTTCACCCCTCATCTCCCAGGCCTGTCCCACTGCTGGGCCATGCGGGTGCTTCCCCATATTCAGTGACAGGCATGATTCAGCCCAGTGCAGAAGGCCCTAAGCCAAACCCCACTTGAGTGACGCCCAGGCTCCGTGCTGGGCCTCTGCAAAGAATCGGCTGCTACATGAGTCCAATGAGATCAGCGCTCAGCGGTTGGGGCTGGGAGGCCCCAGGGAGACAAGGCGGCGAGTGCCAAGCTCTTGGCCAGGCCATGCGTCTGTCCCGGTGGCTGCGCTCCAGAGCTGCCAGGGAGAAGGCCGCCCCCCGCGGATTCTGCAGCGACATCCAGAGCGTTTCAACCCATGGGGCAGTGAAGTGAGCAACTGGGCTAATGAGAGAGGAGGGCAGATGATAATACTCAGGCAGAGAATACACAAAGGCCGTGTTGAAAGGATCCTGGCTGGGGACAGTCGTTATCAGATGTCCCTTTAACTCCCTGGAGGCCGGAAGGGCACCTTCGCGTACTGGTTTTGTCTCATCTGCAACGTGCCAAACCCAGGACTTCATGCCTGTTACTGTTAAGCAGGAGCCTGCCTCGCGTCTCCACCCTGCACGTGCCACCACACAGAGAGGAACTACCCTCCTCCCGCCTGGTAAGTGAGGTGCCCACTGGTTAGGAACCTCACGTTGCTGCCATCTGTTTGCTAAGAGTTCTGGGGTACGGAGGAGTCAGCCGGCAGTCTTTGTAAGCCAACACCTGCCGCCAGCCCTGCACAGAATGTAGAAACCAGTCAAAATGGGCCTGTTTCCATCGCCTTCGTTTACTGGCGGCCTTGTTGCAGCTGGCCAATGTCTACATATCACCACACCCCACCCAGTGACGAGGGGGAGCGCAACGACATCGACGTTGACGCGTTGGCGAGCACGGAGGCAGCCCGACCATAGGTGGGCACGCTGCATTTCTGGATGCCTTGCTCTGGCCGTGCAATGCCGCGCAGCCTTCCTGCAGCCAAGGAAGGAGGCCACCAACCTGACTTGTGCAACTGTATCCTTGATAATGGCATAATTAGAGCTGCACTGTGGGCGAGTGGATAAACCGGGAGACCTGGAGTGTACTCCTGGCTCTGCCACTGAAATGTTGGGTGACCCTGGGCTAGTCACTTTCCATCCTACCCCATTGTCTGTCTTGGCTAGTTGGAACAGCAGCTCTTTGGGGCTGATCTGTGTTTGTACAGCACCCTGCACAATGGGGCTCTGAGCTCAGCTGGGGCCTACTGCCATGTAATGCCAATGGCTGGGCCACTTGTATACCTTGCAAGTAACTCCACCGGCTCTCCAGCCAGCCCAGGGCCATAAATTCCCATTTACACTACAAAGTTTGGGTTTTTAGCATCTGCCAGATTTTCCCTCATATTCCTAGAATTGATGGGATCATGTGTAAATGATATTAAGCACAGTAATAACACTCGGGAAACCAAGCGAAAATAATAAATTAAAAATGATGGAGCAGAAATGTGGCTTCTTTGCTCTTGTGCTGACTGATGGCTTTCACAGCGCCTTCTACACGTCAAGGCTCTCAGACAAACTCCCCCCCACATGATACATCTGCATGGGAACCCAGCGGGTGCAGCAAGGGGCGAAGCGCAGGCTTAGACAGCAGTGTTTGGACTCCCCGGTTTGAAGGTAAGCAACATCCTACTTTCAGGGGAAGCCCTGAGCCACTGCGGTGATGGAAGATCCTGTGGAGCTTGTAAATGCCTCACACTGGCTGCATCTGTCACATCCCTCCTCTACTGACTGAGCAGAATAGAAGATAATTACCCACTACTGCTGCCACCTGGTGGTATTACTCCTTTAGTTCCAATGGGAGAGGCCTGTGTATTGGCACTGAAGGTTCCAGGGTTATTTTTTTCCCCCACAATGGGGGGTCATTATACCAGGGCATGAGCCAATTAGCCAAATTATTAGTAATTGCTTTGCCCTCCCAAAGCTATCCCTAGAGTGTTATTCTTCCTCTTCCTGTTCCAAGAATGTAGCTAGCATTGCTCCTAAAAGCGTCTCTGTTTCAGCCCAGAGTCAGTTGCATTATTGTGACGAGTGAGATAGTTTAGGATCCCTTGCAGGGGGAAGGTGCTCTCTAGAATTGAAGCTATGTATTACCTGTGCTCAGAATTCCTGAAATGAAGGCTAATGGTCTATGATCTATGGTCTATGATCTTTTTCTTGATAAAATTATGAAATTAAAACAGAAAACAATATTGGTATCATGCAATATTATATATACATATATATAGTCCCCTTACTAAAGGTGCCTCTGCTTATTCTCTGGAAAGATCCTGTGTGCTGCAATCTAGCCCCAGAGACTACAATTCCCATGAGCCCTGGAGGAAACCAGGAAGGAAGTGACTCTTTATTTTTGGGTTCTGGGGGCTCTCCACGAGTATGAAGGGAAGCTCAGCAGTCTGTGGACTCTTCCCTTTGTTTTTTGGAAAAAAAGGAGCCTGGCTTCTGTGGAGGAGTTTGATCCAGTCCAGGAGCTGTTAGGTTGCAGCTACAGACTTGGACTAAGAGCCTTTGGGACTGGAATCTAGCAGGCTGCTTCTGATTGCCCTTTGGCTGTACCTGTGGCTAGAAGTACTACCCTGCATCCAGCACACGGAAGGAGACTAGAGTCATCCACTCCAGCTGCAAAATCTTCAAGTGCGCCCACGCAAGCAAGTGTACGGTACTGTGAGTTCTAGGAGCGCACGCTCTAGAGTGGGATAAATAGTGGCAGTGCAAATGCCAGATAGATACGTTTCCTATTATTTCTGCATACTTTGTTAATGTTATTCACTGTTAATCTGTTAAACCCTGTTTCTTTAAGTTGTTAAGTAAAGGTTGATCATTCTAATGTAATCTATTCGTTGTATATGATTTGTTGTTGTTTTGGAGTTAGAGCCAGTTTATTGCTGGAATAGTTTTATTCCTGGAGGCTCCCAAGGCACACCATTAAGTGAGTACAGGGCCAGTCAGGTGAAGGCACTGCCACTGTATGTTCTTCATGAGCAAGGGACTGCAGCAAAGGGGTGGATAGCGGTTTTCCCCAACTAAACTACATCACCACTGGGGTACTCAGGATCTTTTTTTTTCCATGTTAAAACCATCAGGCACCCAGGCACACCTGTGAGTGTGACCTGCCCCCGAGTAACCCGGGGAGGAAAAAGGGGGTTACATATATATATATAGTAGCACAATATAATACTAATGATCTAGCTCTCTGTCACCGTAAATAAGCCAATGTCTACATATCACCACATAAACAACAGTATCAACGGATCTATCATCACATCAGCTTTCTCTCTCTCCTCAACTACTGCCATCTATTCTTTCCCTGTCTGTTACCATATGTACTCTCTATACAATGCTCATCAATGTGGTTTGATTGCCTCTGCCCCTGACCTCCTATTAAGAGCTTGTTTACATCCCTATCAAAGGCACTCTTGCCCTTAGATTGCTCCTTGACCACAGCTGGAGGGGCTGCGGGAGAGCTCTTTGCACCCTGGTTGCAATGTAAATGTGTTCTGTTGAACTAGCTGCACTTTTTTCCCCCCAAGCCAGGGATATCATGGCTATCCAGACAGCAGGCTCTGCTCAGTTCTGTTGAAACCTCTGCTTCAGACACCGCTTGACAGGGGCGCAAACTCATGCATTTTTCAAGCAGATCAATGCGGCTCGGCACCCTGTAGACATAATGACTGCATTGGCCTGGCTGCGAGACAGACTGGGTGAGTCTCTCCAAGTCTGGCGTAATAGCCAGAGCCTTGGAAAGCTGGGCATTATTTATAATTTAACTTATAATTTGCTGTTCAAACCCAGTGGTTTCAAGTAGTTGGATGTCAGTGTGCTTTTGGAGAAAGGAGCGGGGTGGGGGGTGGAAGAGGAGACAGAAGGATCATAGATAGCACTTCACAGCTTCAAAAAGCAGAGTATATGAAAAGCTCTTTGCTAAGTTTCTGACCTACTTTGCATGGCAATAAGCAAACTCCATCATAGAAAAATATTAAAAATAGCAAAATACAACCCAGCAGGTTATAAGAAAGCAGCCCCAGCAGCTCCAGCATGGCAATCAGAGGCAATTTGGGAACAATGCCTCAGATAATTATCAAAGATTTCAGCTGCAATTTTCCCCCCCTTTAAATGGAAATAGGATGCCAGTGTAAGAGGGCAATGGGGAAAAAATGACAGCTTCTCACTTAATGTTCCTGTTCTGGGAGGTGCTGCCATGTACTTACCCTTCTGCCTGTCTGCAAAAACATCCTTGCAAAACTGTAATAATCAAAATCAGAGGGTGTGATGGACATCTTGGCTGGGGATGAGCAAAACACACTGATGAAAGACT